ACATGTGCTTTTATGAAAGAATCTGCAAGCATAGCAAAAGAATCAATAGAGTTAGATGGTAAAGTATGATACCATATCATTGCTCCCTTTGACAGGGTTTCACCGAATTTTTTCAACAATACAAATTCGATCTCATCGTCCTCTAGATCGTTCCCTTTGATGGCACATGTGTAAGAGGTTACATGTTCATTGGGGTCGGTCGTTCCATTATATTTAGGAATCTCGGGCATGCGAAACTTCTTTGGGATCGATTTAGGAGCCGCGCTCGGGGGAGGGGGGTTGAAGGCTTTTGTATGAATTTTTTGGAATCTAAGCCCTTCAATATTGGTGGTGCCCCTAGATATGATCAAACCTGGAGTTATATGTTTCCACTTTTTTGTCGTTTGCCTTGATTCTCCTTTCTCCTGACTCTATTCGTTTTGTCAGTTCTTCGAGCATCTTAACAATTTCCGGATTAGTCCCCGATTCTTGTTCATTTGACCTTACTATAGCTGGCCCCATTTTGAGCTTGCAACATCTCGAAGATCATACGCAAACTGATTCCGTTTTCCTCAATGTTTTGGGTATTTCAAGCTGTAGACCGAGTTCCACTATGAATTCTATTTTCAGGGTCGGAACGTTGGTTTGCCTCGATGGCCGCATGTGAATTGACATCTATTGGCTCTTCGACCCGAGCTCCAACGTGGTCGACGAGTGGCCTTCCGCCCCCGGGGGTTAAGTTGTTGTTCTCATCTTGAAGGCCAGCTTCGTTGTCGATAGGTAGGGCCATTAATTGAGAATTCGTCATTTTCAATCTGAAATCAAAGATACTTCCAAGAGCAAGCGTAGAATGGTATGTTATGTAGAGATTCGTACCAAACAACCACTGTTATCCTTAGCCCCACGGTGGACGCCAAACTGTTTACCCGAAAAATAGATAAAGTTGAATTTATACGTAGTTCTAAGGATACGTGGTATAACTTGACACAAATCGGAAAGTGAGTAGAAATATATTGAATATTTACTTGTAAAGAATGAAATACGAACCAGTATTGAATTAGAAAATAATTTTATGAACTAGCAAGATGAATCAATGAATAAAGCTCACAAGAGGATAATCTCTATTGTATTTCTCTGTCAATAGTAATATCTGAATATAAGAGTGTATGTATGCCTTCATGTTGGATCCTTATAGAAATAATAGCCATCCCTCTTATAGTGGAGGGATCCTACTTTAGATATAATTAAAAATACATAGTGGAGAACCTATGATAGAATAGCTTTTCCCAAATTTCCGTCGAGATTCTCTCTCCTGGGTGCGTTTGTAACGACTCTTGTCCCTTGGCTCGATCTTGATCGGACTTGATATCGGTTGTTTTCCAGATTTAGAGCCCAATATTGACTCGGGGCCCGGTATTGACTTGGGCTCGGTATTGGTCGGTCTTTGGTTCTAAAACTCGATAACGTCGCTTCGTATCATAGTTTGATTTGGATTCGAGCTCGGTAATGACTTCGAGTTCGGTATTTGATCGGTCCCAAAAATTTAAGCTCGGTAACCTGGCTTTGGATCTCATACCTAATATTACGAGGATGACCTTCGGTCCATTATGTTCTAATCTTGACTAATCATATGAAGGTCGAAACCGGTTTTGACCGTTTATAATGATAAAAAAGGTAACCTAAGATTGAGTATGGTAAAAAATATAGTCATGTTAAATTGATTATTACTTTTAAAATTAGCTATTGAACTAACACCTGTTGATTTCTGATTTACTATTTAGCAATTGAGCCTAATGATGAATGATAAAGAAAAGGTTATACGAGTAATCGAATTAAACGAGCCTAGCGTAGCCAGCTCAATAGAGCCCGATCTTTGACCGAATAGAAGCGATTTTAAATGAAATGGGGTTGAACAGAGTCGTGCCTCATTTTTATAAAATAATTTTATTTAACATCAACTAGAAAAAGTCACATAAATCTAATCAGGTTTGCTAATCTATCTTTGTACCTTATTGTATCGATCCGACCGATCGTTTTACTTTCTAGATCCACGTTCCCCTAAATAAGATCCCCATACATGCTTTTACTGTTTTATGATTTGCAGGGATGGTCAGTTCGGGATTTGGAAGGGTTCTGGTTGAAATAGAAACATTTGGTTCCTTAAGGTTGGCTAAAAAGGGCTAAGTTTGACTTTGGACAAAATTTTGAGCAAACGACCTCGGAACTTAGATTTGATGCCTCCAATAGGTTTGTATGATCATTTTGGACTTGGGCGTATGTTCGTACCGGGCTTTGAATGACCCGGGTGCATTTCAACGCTTAATATTAGAAGTTGGCACCTTGAAGGTTTTAAAGTTCTTTAAATTTGGTTTGGAGTAGGTTTTGAGGTTATCGAAGTCCGTTTGGGATTTCGGGCCTGGGAATAGTTCTGTATGGTGATTTAAGACTTGCACGCAAAATTTATAGTCATTCCGAGTAGTTTAAGTATGTTTCGGTGCGTTCGGAGTAAGCTGGAAGAATTTGAAGTTCATAAGTTGATTCTATTGGTTTTGGGTTGCGGCTTAGTTTTAATGTTGTTTTCCGCATTCTGAGGGTGCGAGCGAGTCCGTTTTATGATTTCAAACTTGTTGGTATGTTTGGACGGAGTCTCGGGGGCCCTGAATGCCATTCGGACGATGCGCGGAGGTCGTTTAGCCTTGGGTGAATAGCTGAAGCACCCAGCTTCCAGTGCAATCGTACCTGCGGAGGGCCATCCGTAGGTGCGAGCTCACAGAAGCGAGCCAGCAGCCGGAGAAGCAGCCCAGCATGGGCAGCCCAAAAACCGCAAATGCGGAACATGGCGCGCACCTGCGAACGCGCAGGTGCGATTGAAGCAACCGCAGAAGCGGCCAAAGATGCAGGTGCGACACTCGCATAGCAGAAGTGGTCCCGCAGAAGTGGGCTAGTGGTCCGCAGATGTAGAAGTAGGCCAACTGAGGAAGGGCCACATCTGCGGTGATTTTTTCGTAGAAGCGGCTGCCCCTCCGCAAAAGCGAACATCGTTGAAAGTAGAATGGTCCATTTAATGCAGGACTTAGGCTATTTTGGCTCATTTTCTTTGGCGATTTTGGAGCTCTTGGAAGGGGGCTTTCACCTATCACTTTGAGAGTTTGAGGTAAGTAATTTCTATAGAATATGAGTTTAAAACATACATTATGGGTAAATTTTAACATGTAAAATTGTGAAAATCATGGGTTTATATAAAAAATCTAGGTTTTGATAAAAATGGGATTAAACCACGAAAATAGTTATGAAATTGAGTGAAAAATTATATATTTTAGTTCGTGAGGCTATGGGTAAAAACTTTCTTCGAAAATTTTCGGAATCCGAGCACGTGGGTCCGGGGGTTGAATTTTAGGAATCCTTCAATTGGGGTTGGGTAATCACTCTAATAGTTAAATTATGAACTTTGAAACATATATTGATTAATTTATATAACATTTGAATAGTTTTATATTGTTCGGCACCGAGTCGAGGCTTTAGAGTAAATTTGAGGCCGAAAAGCGAACTTCGAGATAAGGTAAGTCTCTTGCCTAATCTTGTAAGAGTGAATTTATCCCATAGGTGATTTAAATTACTATTTGCTTCTAATTGTGGGAGCTACGTATGCACGAGGTGAAGAGAGTCCGTGCGTAACTTCTAACTATACTTATGTCCGGGTAGCTTAGGAACCAAATCATAAAATACTTATAATGTTTGCACCCAACTTGTCAATTAAAGTGCCTAAATTATATCGGAACTTGTTAGAGGAATTTTACAATACCGAATTTCAATTATTGAGTTTTGGCGGGTTGCTTGACCCTTAACAAAATTGTGTTTCATTGTACATTAGCCTTGTATTAGCTCTTAAACCGGTTGTTTATAAAGTATCCTCTCTTATTGTGGAACGGGCCGAATGCCTCGACAACAGATAGATGCATATATGGTTCGTACCGTTCGATCTTCGGCAGTGTACACATTATCCTGGATCGGACCGTAAGACCTCGACATAATCGTGCGTGATAACACTCGAAGTGTAGTTATATATTTGATATCTTTCATGGCTTGAGAGGCTAAAATTATATAAGACATAGATTTATTTGGGACTTACCATACATGAAAGGATTATTTACTTTCTGCTTGTTATTGAGTTATTATTATTACTTGCATGACTCATGTTTATTTAGAATTCTATATTTCTTTACTGTTGGCCCATAGTAAGGGTCGAAGTCGACTCCTCGTCACTACTTCTGAGGTTAGACTTGATATTTACTGTGTACATTGTTTATGTACTCACGCTATACTTCTACACTAACCGTGAAGGATCTAAGGCAGGTGCATCTGACAGTCACATCGGCGCGCGCGCATCCCCGATACCCCGAGGCCTAGTGGTGAGCTGCTTTATGAGCCGTTCTGCAGCACCTAAATCCTTTCTTTTGTACTTATTTTCTGTCTATTTTATTTCAGACAGTAGTTCGAGTTTTGTATATTCTACTAGTGCTCATACACTTGTGACACCAAGTCTTGACATACACACTAGTAGACTTTATAGTTTTGGAGCACTTGTATTACTATGATTGCCACTCAGTTGTCTTCGTTTCATTTATTGAATTTTCCACTCCTTAATTTCTTATTAAATAGAATTTAATTACTTGAAACTTATTAAAAAAATAATAACATGGTTTAATTCACTGTTGGCTTGGTTAGCGGTAACGTTAGGCGCCATCATGGCCTACAGTAGAAGTTATGTCGTGACACTTATGAGCTAAAGTAGAACATATTCCCAGCCCTAACTTTAGCCAATAGGAAAATAGAAGTACCCAAATTTTCTAGTACTATATATCTCAACCAAACCGTATCCAAATAGTTATCATTGCCTCCATTATTTTTTCTATTTCCCTCCATCGTTTTTTCCCCTTTCCCTCCATTATTATTTTTAATTTTCCTCGTATTTTAAGAATCATGGGTGGTTTCATAAAAACCGTTTATATCGTACTTATATTTGTTGAAAGCCCTCCCTTACAGAGCTCCTCAACATAGAATTCATGCGTGAGAGCCCAAATCTCGACAATCCGTTGGTCAGTTTCATTTAGCCTCTTCCTTTTTGTTTCTTGATTCTCTATGCATTCTTTAAATTAAATTATGTCTACAGCAAGTGACATTTTATAGTTTATATGGGTTATTAATAGAAGTTGACTTGCATGTACATAGAGTTGAGATTTTCAGTATTGCACATTTTACAACTTGAAAGTTAACCTCTCTTTTTTCGCCTAAATTAAAGAATATTGGTATTAGTAGTAGACTTGCCTGTGTAGTTTGTTGGTAATCAAAGCCACTCGAGCCTGTGTATGTTTGATGCCTAAAATATAGAATGTTGGTAATTAGAGTTTGGCTCGTTTCTTCATCAGATTTTACTATCAAAAGATTGTACAATAGAATTAAAATAGTTTGCAAACTGTGTTGGATAATTTGTGGATAATTTTGTGTAATCAACTTTCTCTGATGTTTAGGTTGTAGCAATCGATCCATTCTTTTTAAAGAGTTAAATCTTTGTTTGTTCTGGTAATTTATAAGAAGCCCTCTTTGCATTTGTTTAGTAATTTTTATACTTTTTATGTCGTGAACTGGTTTAGAAAAGGGTTAAAACTAAGTTGATTTTGTTACTATTTGGGACACGCAACACTATTCTACTAATACTAAACAGAAGTACTTTAAGAAGTTTCATAATTTATAATTGCTGTCTTTTTTTTTTAGCTTTAAACATTTTAATGTTTATGTTATGCTTAATTTTACATGCCTATGCTGCTGCCAGGCCATCCTTTTCTTTTCCTACTCTGTTTTTGTCCTTTCCTTTGTTTGAATAACACAATAAAAATGACAATTTTGTAGAATTTTTCGGTAATTAAAGTTCTATCATAGTTCCATGTTCGCTTCATCTCAGTGCATAGATCATATATGATTCACCAATTTTTTATTTTTCTTATGAATATGCAGCCATGCCAAAGATTAAACGTTTTCGGAATCCATTGAAATCAGCTCATGGACCATATGATGCTTCTGGACATTCTTCATCATCAACAACTCCAGTCACGTCACTTGCTATAGAGCCCTCAACATCGTTACAAGCTCCACCACATGCTCTTGCAAGTTCCTCAGCAGCTGATGAAGTCCCACAACAAGAACAAGCTCCGACTCAACCTTCTAATCCAAGTGCAATGTCCACACACCATCATGGATGTGAATCTACACAATATTAAAAAGTAGAGGTAATAGGTATATGCCTTATATGTATGTTTATTTCACTTTATAAATTTCTAATATTTTTGGTTGACTAAACTTGTCTTTTTATTAAAGACTCAAACAACACTACTAAGCACATTATGATCAAGGTCAATGAGGTCAACAACCTACCTATCAGAGATCGCATCATTGTGGACTTTGATAACTACAATGCAGCATATGGGGAAACACAAGGGTTGCTTGTGATATTGTGGATTGTTCGCTATTGATGACAATTTCTTCCTAGTTAATTTTGACAGGTGGTCAGGACTGTCAGGTATTCCTAAAAAATACAAATGAAGACGGCTTCTAAAACCATGCTAAAGTTATTACACAAATGTTTATTTATTGTAACTAGATTTTTATACATGAAGTGTAAACTAACTTTCTTTTTCTTTTTCATTTGAAGCCTCGATTTTTTTAGGACTACTAATGCCATTGCATATAGATATTGCAATGCTAGTTTGCATAAGAAGTGAAAAACACATAGACATAGGTTGTGGGATGAATTTTATGACCCAGCCAAAAGCAGAACTGAACTTTTAGCAATGTGCCACCAGGTATAAATAGAGATCAATGGGCTGGTTTTGTTGCTTATTGTCTAAAATCATCAACAATTATAGGATTATGATTATTTGAATAGATTTTGTTGTTGTTATGACTAAATATTAGACAAACTTTTTAAGTTGTTATTATTTTGTTAATAGGAAATGTCACGACCCAAAATCCACTATAGGTCGTGATAGGCTCTAACGCCGCTGTCAGGCAAGCCAACAGTGATTTATCAATTTAAATACTTATTTTATTACTTTTGAAAATATAAATTTTAATAAGGAAGGAGATTTACACTTCTAAAATAACGAGAACGTATAACATTTATAGTTTATAAAAGAAATGGAAGGCGGTAATAATATACGAAATCGTAAGCATCAACTAGTATAACCCCAAAACCCAGTATCACAAGTACATGAGCATTTTTAAGGGAGTACAATAATAATACAATATTTGTACAGAATGTAAATAGACAGGATAAAATACATAATACGATGGGGACTCGGTGGACTGTGATGCGTAGCCTGGAATGCAGCTCACATAAAATCCCCTCAACAGGTGTGCTTATGCGCCAAGATGATTACCAAATGAACTTGTCAGATCCTGCACATTTAGTGCAGAAATGCAGCATGAGTACGTAAATCAACGCGTACCCAGTAAGTATATAGCCTAACCCCAAAGAAATAGTGACAAGAGGTCGACATCGATACTTAATAGAGGTCCAATAAAGCAATATAATACTCCAATTCATAAGCAGATATGAAGCACACAACAATAATGGGGTGAATCTGTAAGTTACATAATCTTCCAAATATTTCTTTTAAAGTATAAATTTCTTAATCTTGTATTCTACCTCAATGACTCAGAAAATATCAAGTGCCAATATCAAATGAATAAGGAATACCATATAAAATTTCGGGCATCAGTGGAAGGATAATCTCGTGAATGTTCAGACTACCAGCGATATAACGCACGATTATGCTGAGGTCGTTCGGCCAAATCCAAAATAATGTGTACACTGCCGAGGGTCGAGTAGCATGAACCATAGATGCATCTATTATACTGTCGAGGCGTTCGGCCCGCTCTACAAGAAGAGAGGATACTTTATAAGCATTTGACTTAAATGTTATTAAAGGCTAACACACTATGTAGTACAAATTCCATTAACGGTCTTTCATAATTTCTCTTACCAGTTCTAATAAAATTTAGTCACTTTAGTTATTAAATAGGGTTCGACATTTCAAGTAATTCATGATTTGGGTCCTAAACTACCCGGACATAGCATAAATAGTAGTTACGCACGGACTCTCGTCACCTCGTACGTACGTAATCCCCACAATTAGAGGCAAATATTAATCTAAATCACCTATGGGGTAAAATTCTAATTCTACCATTAATGAGAAACTTTTATAACCATATAAATAATCTTGACCCCTTTTTGACTTGTTTAGGACTATAAATTCTAAAAATCTTCATTTTTTCTTAAACTGTGTGCCCAGTCAAGCAGGTTCATATAAATTGGAACGGAGGGAGTAATTCATAAGCAGATATGAAGCATACAACAATAATGAGGTAACAATAATGAGATAAATCTGTAAGTTACATAATCTTCCAAATATTTCTTTTAAATTATAAATTTTCCAATCTTGTATTCTACCTTAACGACTTAGAAAATGTCAAGTGCCAATATCAAATGAATAACGAATACCATATAAAATTTCGGGCATCAGTGGAAAGATAATCTCGTAAATGTTCGGACTACTAGCGATATAACGCACGATTATGCTGAGGTCGTTCGTCCCGATTCAGAATAATGTGTACACTGCCGAGGGTCGAACAACACGAACCATAGATGAATCTATTATACTGCCGATGCGTTCAGCCCGCTCCACAAGAAAGGAAGGAAGTTATCGAATTACGAGACACGTGCTTACAATACAGTACATGGACACAATAATAAATATACCCCTTTACGTTTATCAAATATCTTGGCAATAACTCAAGGTGATAAAACTCGGCCTAATATATTTATATGTTTCTAAATAAATTTCAATTAAAATTTTAATTAATTAAGCTAGCAAAGTGAGTCCAAACAATTCAAATATTACATGATAAAGTCCTAAGCCTACCCAGACATAAACATGTTTTAGCTACGTACGGACTCTCGTCACCTCGTGCGCACGTAGCACCCACAACTAGTTACACATAACAATAAATATCACTTAGGGGTAGTTTTCCCCTCACAAGGTTAGACATGATACTTACCTCGCTCCGAAGTTCCATAACCGGCTCCAACGCCACTCTAACATCTCAAACTGATGCCCGTCGCTCCGAAACTAGTCAAACAATGTGCAAACCAATAAAAATATACTCTAATACTCATAATAAATCAATTTATAACAATTTCCATCTCCGCTCGAAAAGTCAATAAAGTCAAATCCCGGGCCCACGTGCTTGGAACTCGATAAAACTCACAAAATACGACAACCCATTCCGATGCGAGTTCAATCATACCAATTTTATCAAATTCTGATAACGAATCGACCTCCAAATCTTCATTTTTTTGTTTTTGAAAGATTTTGCCAAAAGTCTCATTTTCTTCCAATTGATTCACTAATAATTGATGAATAAATGAATATAAATATGGAATCATGAAATATAATTACTTTCGGATATAGAATACTTACTCAAGTCAAAGTCGTGAAGAACTCCTCAAAATCGCCCAAAATCGAGCTCCAAAATCCAAAACAAAAATGAAAAAATGACCAAGTTTCGATCCTTAAGTCTTCTGCCCAGTTTCGCATTTGCGGACAAAAACTTCGCATTTGCGAATCAACAGTAAACTCCAATGAATGGTGTTCGCAATTGCGAATGAACAGTGCCCAGCAAACCCAAACTTCCCCGAAATGATCTGAAACCACCCCAAACTCATCTGGAACCTCCCGGACACAAATCATATATGAATTTCAATCATAAAATACGCTATGGACCTGCTTGCACACTCAAAACACTGAAAAGAGATCGTCTTGACCCGATATTCACTATGGTCAAACTCTAATTTTTTTAACTTTACTAGTCTCTCAACCAATGATCCAAAATACACCCAAGCCCCTCGGGACCCTGTCAATCATACCAACAAGTCCAAGAATATGATACAAACTTAGTCGAGGCCTCAAATAACATCAAACAATGCTGAAACTACGAATCGCCCCTCGAATTGAATTATGAGTTATGAAATTTCCAAATTCTATAATTTTGCACACAAGTCATAAATGACATAATGGACATGTTCCAATTTCCGGAATCAAAATCCGAGCTCGATATCAACCAAGTCAACTTCCGGTCAAATTTATGAATATATCAAAACTTCAACTTTTCGTCAAAATGCACTGAATTATCCACTTCCAAATCCGGACATACGCCTAACTCTGAAATCGCCATATGAAGCTATTGAAATCATAAAAAATTCATTCCAGAGTCGTTTGCTCAAAAGTCAAACCTCGGTCAACTCTCCCAACTTAAAGCTTCCGAATTGAGAATTTTCCTTCTAAAATAACTCTGAACTCCCGAAATTCAATGTTGACCACGCGTACAAGTTATAAAACATTAAGTGAAGCTACTCGAGGCCTCAAACCATCGAACGACGCACTAGAGCTCAAAACAACCGATCGGGTTGTTACAGAAAAGTTGTAGAAGAAATATAGAAATTAGACGTAAGCAAACAATGCCTCATACTGGCGGTTCCACAGATAACTTGAGATGACGACATGAGCTGGTATTCATATTAACTTAATAGTTTTACTTGTTCTCTAATTTAAATGCTTTATTACATTCTATTTAATTTATCTCTTTTTTAGTTTTTGAAAACTAGGAAAATTCCTACTCGGGGAAAGATGTTTATTGAAACTCATAAGAGAAAGTATGGATCATTTGTAAATGATGAGGCAAGACTATAGTGGTAAGTTCAGCTTTGGTGTGTTTCTCTGACATTATTTGAAGCTATATTTAAACATTTTGCATCTCAATCTTACTTTTTGTACATACTAATTGATAATTTGTCTGCTTGTAGGAACTAATTGAATTGACTCAAGGCAACACCAATGGATCTAATATTTCCCCAGATGATATTATTAGCAAGGTGTTAGGGGAAGAGCATTCTGGGAGGGTACGATCTATGGGTATGGGAGTAGCTCCTTCAAATACATTCAAGTATATCAAGCAACGACTTAATGAGCCGAACCATTCTTCATCTAGCTTCGACGCATCATCTGCATCTTTCATCTATTTACAACAAAAGGTCACTTATTTGATGTGATGACCCAAAAGGTCATCTTATGTTTTAGAACTCGATTCTGTACTCTTAAGCCTTAAAAATCTCTTTTTTACCTTCCTAGATTTGCGTGCACAGTTTGAGCATGTTTCCGAAAAGCTTTTATGTTAAACATTAATAAAAATAAGAATTTTTACCTTAAAGGTTGATTTTAGTTGACTTCGGTCAACATTTTTGGTAAACGGGCCCAGATCCATATTTTGACAATCCCGGTGGGTTCGTGTTGAATTATGGGACTTGGGCGTATGCCCGGAATCGAATTCGGAGGTCCTTAGCTCGAGTTATGCATTTGTGATGAAAATTAAAAGTCTGAAAATTTAATTGTTTTTAAGAATTGGTTGATATTTAGCCTTGTTGATACCGGATCCGTATTTTGGTTGCGGAGCCCGGTATAGGTCCAATATAATATTTATGACTTATCTGTGAAATTTGGTGAGAAGCGGAGTTGGTTTGACGTGATGCGGACATCCAGTTGAGAAAAAAAAAATTTTAAAGTGTTCTTGAGAATTTCATTTGATTTGGTGCTAAATTCGTAGTTCTCGGTGTTATTTTTGCGATTGGATCATGAAAATTTTAAAGTGTTCTTGAGAATTTCATTTGATTTTTGCGATTGAAAATTTTAGACTTGTGTGCATGTTTGGTTTGGAGTCCCGAGGGCTCGGGTGAGATT